ACTGCGGCCGCAAACCATTTTGTGCGGACCGCAGTAGCCTCACCGCGGCCGTAATCGATTTTATGCGGTCCGCGGAGCAGAGATTCAGAGAGCTGGGATTTCAACTGTTGGAAGCCACTGCGGCCGCAAACCATTTCATGCGGCCGCGGTACATTTTGTGCGGTCCACGGTGGACAGAATCAGAGATCCAAAAAGTTAAGCCAAAAGCCTCATCGCTACCGTGGTGCATTTTTCGCGGACCGCGGTACCTCCGCAGGGGTATTTTTGTCTAGAAAATTTGGCCTAGTATAAATACTTTCTTTTCACATTTTTAGGGTATCTTTTGTAACCTAACTTTTAGCTGAGCATGTGAACGGCTGTTTTGTTCCATTTTGAGTAATTTGGAGCTACTTTAACTCTGAATCTTCATTATCTTAGTTTGTAATCAAATCATATGGTTGTTCTTCATCTAATTTTATGTTTTCTTCCATTATTATGAGTAGCTAGACCCATTAGCTAGGGTTGTGGCTCAACCCTATTGTGGGTATTTGATGGGTCTTGTGTTTTAATGCTTAGATGTTTATGCGTGGTTGATATTTGGACTAATTTGTGTTGTTTATGTTGGATTAGTGGTTGCAAACACTAATTTGTGCCTATTTGACTTGGGCTCTTCTTGATAAAGAGAGCTTAAGTCTAGGAAATCAGTCCAACAAGGAATTGGGGCGTACTCAAGAGATTGATAGCCCCAATTAAAGGGTTAAATCTAGAGATAGTAATACCCGATTTGAGCCTACATTGCTTGCATAATTTCGACACCCAATTGGTCTTGAGAAAGTCAATTTGGGCAAAGTCACTCGAGCTACCGAGAGGTATAGAGTGAGTAGTGTCGTGCATTGGCTATATCGCGATCCCAAACATAACATCTTTGCCTTAGATATTACCTAGGGGGAAGTCACTTCCCTAGTGCCTCGTTACCTATTAGAAAACCATTCAAGCAATTATTCTTAGCTTAATTTAGCATCTTAGTAGCATAAAAGTAGAAGTAATCAAAAGAACAATTATGATTGGAAGCGTAATTAAGAACATTATGCATTGCTAGTTTAGATAGGAATCCAATTCCCAATTCTAGCCCCCTGTGGATTCGATCCCGAACTTTTCGGGTAAAAGCTGCATCGACCGCTCTCGCCACTCCATAGAGATGCAGGGTTGGCACCGATAACTTGTCCTTAAGGACAGAGTTCAGCACGGCGATGCCAGAGATGTGACTATTGGTGATGATGGGGTATTAAAGATGCAGGACCGGATATGTCTACCCAATGTAGATGGGCTTTGGGAGTTGATTTTGGAGGAGGCCCATAGCTCGCGGTATTCCATCCATCCGGGTTCCGCGAAGATGTATCAGGATTTGAGACAGCATTATTGATGGAGGAGAATGAAGAAGGATATTATGGGATTTGTAGCTTGGTGTCTCAATTGTGAGCAGGTGAAATATGAGCATCAGAGACCAGGTGGCTTGCTTCAGCAGATAGATATTCTAGAGTGGAAGTGGGAGCGGATCACCATGGATTTTGTAGTTGGACTCCCACGGACTTTGAAGAAGTTCGATGCTATTTGGGTGATTGTGGATCGGCTGACCAAGTCCGCGCACTTTATTCCGGTATGTACTACCTATTCTTCAGAGCGGTCAGCAGAGATTTATATCTGAGAGATGTTCGCTTGCATGGTGTCCCAGTTTCCATCATTTCGGACAGAGGTACTCAGTTCACTTTGCAGTTTTGGAGAGCCGTGCAGCAAGAGTTGGGTACTCAGGTTGAGTTGAGCACAACTTTTCACCCTCAGACGGACGGTCACTCCGAGCGCACTATTCAGATATTGGAGGACATGTTACGCGTTTGTGTCATTGACTTTGGGGGTTTATGGGATCAGTTTCTACCGCTCGCATAGTTTGCATATAACAACAGTTATCAGTCGAGTATTTAGATGGCTCCATATGAGGATTTATATGGGAGACGGTGTAGATCTCCAGTTGGTTGGTTTGAGCCGGGCGAGGCTAGGCTTTTGGGTACACTTGGTGCAGGATGCTTTGGACAAAGTGAAGGTGATTCAGGAGCGGCTTCGTACAGCGCAATCGAGACACAAGAGTCATGCTGACAGGAAGGTTCGTGATGTGTCTTACATGGTTGGGGAGAAGGTTCTACTGAAGGTTTCACCCATGAAGGGTGTTATGAGATTTGGAAAGAAGGGTAAATTGAGTCCTCGGTTCATTGGGCCTTTTGAGGTGTTTCGGAGGATTGGGAGGTGGCTTATGAGCTTGCTTTGCCACCTGGCTTGTCGAGCATGCATCCGGTGTTTCATGTTTCTATGCTCCAGAAGTATATTGGCGATCCATCTCATGTTTTGGATTTCAGCACGGTTCAGTTAGACTGTGATTTGACTTATGATGTGGAGCTAGTGGCTATTTTGGAGCGGCAGGTCCGAAATTTGAGATCAAAGGAGACAGCTTCAATAAAAGTGCAGTGGAGGGGTCGGCCCGTGGAGAAGGCTACCTGGGAGACTGAGCGGGAGATGCGGAGCAGATATCCACACCTATTTGAGGCTTCAGGTATGTTTCTTGACTCTTTCGAGGACGAACGTTTGTTTAAGAGGGGGAGGATGTAATGACCCGGCCGGTCGTTTCATGAGTTACCGCTCCGTTTTTCCCCATTTCTACTTCCTTGTGTGTTGTTCGACTGTATTTCATCATGCCGTGATGGTGGTGTTGTGTTCGGAGTGGTCTTAGGGAGGAATGAGACACTTAGTCTCTTAAGTTGGTTATTTAGTTGGTAAAGTCAACCGGAAGGTTACTTGTCGGTAAATGATCTTGGAGTTGGGTTTTTATGGTTCGGATAGCTTCGTAGGTGATTTGGGACTTAGGAGCGTGATCGGAATGTATTTTGGAGGTCCGTGGTAGATTTAAGCATGAATTGGCGAAATTGCAACTTTGGCATTTCCGGTCGGCAGTGGAAATCTTGATATCGGGGTCGGATTGGAATTCTAGAAATTTGAGTAGGTCCATTGTGTCATTTGTGACGTGTGTGCAAAATTTCAGGTCATTCAGATGAGGTTTGATAGGTTTTTACATCGTTTGCGGAATTCGGAAATTTTGGAATCCTTAGGCTTGAATTCGAGGGTGATTTGGTGTTTCAGTGTTGTTTTGAGTGTTCCGAAGGTTGGAATAAGTTTGAATAGTGGTATGTGACTTGTTGTCATGTTTGGTTGAGGTTCCGAGGGCCTCGGGATGGATTTGGGTGGTTAACGGAAGGTTTGGAGTTGAGTTGGAGTTGCAGATTTTGTTGCTTCTGTTGTTTCCGCACCTGCGGAGTGGGGACCGCAGGTGTGATGATCGTAGGCGCGGGAAGTAACCGCAGGAGCGGAGGTTGTCGCAGGAGCGGAGGGATTGACCGCACCTGCGAGCCCGCAGGTGCGAGGCCTAGGGCGCAGGTGCAGAAGCTGGTAACTTAAGTTAAAACTGCAGATGCGGTTATTTTGACCACAGAAGCGGCCCGTTTATGCGTGAAATGGGCTGCAGGTGGGAAAGTGCTGGGCAGAATGTATAAAAAGGCCCCTTCGCGATTTTCAGCCATTATTTCGCCATTTTTGTGCGATTTTGGAGCTCCAAGCCGGGAATTCAAGGAGGAATTGAGGGATTTCAGTGAGGTAAGTTACTTGGGCTTTGTATTTGGTGTTTGTGGTGATTTTTCCACTACCTAATCATGAAATTAGTGGGGAATTTGGGGTGAAGTTGAAGGTTAGTGCTTGAGTTTTGGAGAGCTTTGATTGAGAATTTGAGGGGTCGTTTGAGGTCCAATTTTGGTGATTGATATGTATAGACTCGTGAGGGGATAAGGATTCTAGTGTTGTGATTTTTATCGGATTCCGAGACGTGGGCCCGGGGGTCGGGTTTGGCCAATTTCAGAATTTTTGAGTTAATTTGATTATTTTCGCTTGGTCTTTTTTCCTTTAGCGTGTATTAATGGTGTGATACTGATTTTGGTTAGATTTGGAGCATTTGGAGGCCGAGTCGAGAGGCAAAGGCATCGCGGGTTAGAGTTCGGTCCGGTTTGAGGTAAGTAATGATTGTAAATGTTGTCCTGAGGGTATGAAACCCCGGATTTCACATTGTGGTACTATTTGAGGTGACACACACGCTAGATGACGAGCGTGAGGGGCGTGCACCGTTGGGGATTGTGACTTGGTCCGACCCGTAGCAACTATTAAGTTGCGTATTTGGCTGAAACTACTTGATATCATCTTATGCTAGAAAGTAATGCTATGTTTTGGACCGAATGCCATAGAAGGACATTTTTCCAAGTGTTTTTCTGAAGCTGGGTTTTTACGAGATAATTGATTTCTATATTATTTTGGAAATGTACTATATTTGCTGTAGTGTTATGACGTGGAATTACCTGATTTTCTTGCTGCTCAGTTTTCATTTACTTTTATTACTTACTGAGTTGGCGTACTGACATTACTCCCTGCACCTTGTGTGCAGATCCAGGAGTTGCGGGTCGCGATAGTGAGCGCTGATCGTCCTTTCAGCAGGTCTTTCGGAGCCGGCAAGGTAGCTTCTTGGCATTCGCAGCCCTGCACTTCTCCTTCTTATCTTACTCATACTGTTCTTAGTATCTTTGTTTCCGGACTATGGCAGCCTTTATTGTACTTAGACAGACCTTGTAGTTGCTCGTAACTTGTGAGACCCCCATGTCGGGCTTGTGTTATTTTTCTGCTCTGGTTGTTTAGACCCATGTTATGAGATATTGTCAATTAATAGCTTAAAACTTCCTTTTTTAATTAATAGTTTGATTTGGGATTTGTGTCGGCTGGCCTAGTTTCACGATAGGCGCCATCACGACCGGGTCGGTTTTAGGGTCGTGACAATATTATCAATTATACTTCTCCCTTTCACAAATCCAGACTGATTAGATGAGATTAGGGAAGGCAGAAACTTCTCCAATCTATCATGTAGAATTCTAGACAGCACTTTATTGATGAAATTGCTCAAACTTATTGGTCTTAAGTTTGAGAATGTCTGCACTCTTGGATTCTTTAGCAACAATACCAAGTTTGTATGAGTGATAGGCTTAAACAATGCAGCAACACCATAGAAATGAAGCACCATGTTGTGTATGTCATAGCAAATAATATCCCAACATTCTTGATAAAATAATCAAGTAATCCACCAGGACCATTGGCACAATCCCTACTTAGCTCAAAAATTGCAGCCTTAACCTCTTCGAGGGTTGGAAATCTACACAACTCCAAATTCTTCTCCAAAGTAACAGTAGGTACATTCTCCAGCATAGAGAAATCTGTAGGATCTCCTTTATTAGTGAACTATTTTCGATAAAATTCAACTGCAGTATTGGCCATTTGTTCTTAATATTCTAACCAATTACCATCTCCATTATGGATCCTTTTCAATTGCAGCTTCTTCCTTTTGCCATTGACATGATTGTGAAAGAAGCTAGTGTTTCTATCTCCCTCAGCAAACCATATCATCGCAACTTTTTGTTTCCAGTACTGCTCATGTATACTCAAGTATTTCTTCAGTTCTGCCTGAGCTTTTTGGAGAATAATTCTATTCTTAATTGTAGGTTCCTCCTCAAACAGCATCTCCTTAACTTTAACAATGTCTTCCAGAATTGCTAACTGTTTGAAGATGTCACCAAAGGTGTCCTTGCTCCATTTTAGATAGTGGTGCCTTAACCTTCTTCAGCTTGTGTTTGAACATTAGAAATGGATCTCCCATGAAATCAGCATCCCAACTTTGTCTCACCACCTCCTTAAATGTAGCATGTTTTGTCCAAAAGTTCAAGAATCTGAAAGGCTTGACAAAACTGGTAGTCTGCTCTCTACAAGTCATAAGTAATGGTGCATGATCTGAGCCAGTTCTAATCAAATGTTCCACTTTAATTGAGGGTAGCATATTCTGAAATGGTAAATTCACAAAAATCCTGTCCAATCTCTTGAATATACATTCAGCATTAGGTCTTCCATTCCACCAAGTAAATGGGCTTCCTTTATAGCCTTGATCAAACAGCCCACAAGAATTGACACAGAATGCAAAATCCTCATATTCATGAGGATGAACTGGTAAGCCCCCTATCTTCTCATCTTCATGTAATATCACATTAAAGTCTCCTCCTACTAACCAAGGAAGCTCCATATCACTTTCCATATAGTATAGGTTATCCCATAATTCCAATCTCTCTAAAGATGAACACCTTGCATACACAAAAGTCATCATGATATGCTGACCAATGTCATAGTGAAAGACTTTGACAGTCACCTGTTGATTAGTCTCCACAATCAATTCCCACTCCACCACAACATCAAAGAACAACCATATCTTCCTATTCAAATTTGTAAAGGCAGACTCCATGTTTAGTCTTCTTCTATACCTTTGTATATGCCGTGCCTTTTGAAAATGCTCCATTAATGCAATGACAAAGAAATTATGACCCTTTTTCATATTGATCACCCTACGGAAGGCCTGTTGAGTGTTCACAGACCATATGTTCCAAATTAAGGTCTTGATCATCATTTCGTTTGTGAGGCTGCCTTCCTAGGCATGATCCTTAAAGGTTGAAGTGGTTCTTTGTTCTGGGTCTGCTTCATTGTCTTCTTACCCCCCTTTGTAGTAGTTCTAGGTTATAAATCTGCATCACTTGCCACTTGTTTAAAGTTCCTAGCAACTGACTCATCACCTCCTTCTTCCTCCAGTTGTTGTTGCTCCATTAAATCTCTCTCTCTCTCTCTCTACAGGTTCCACATTATGTGTAACTAGATCATGTAATGTTTGCAAGGGTGTCTTCAATGGAACATTGAGTTGCAGTTGCATAATCTGATCAGTGCCTGGTTCACATGCCATTGGCATTGCCTCTAAATCTCCAGATGTCCTAGGTACAATAACCTGCTCCTCAGCTACCTTAGCATTATGCTCCAAGTTGCTTACAGCTTCCTGTATCATCTTGAATTGAAGTTCATAGACATTGCCCAGATTAGGGTTCACTGTAGCAACTTGCCCAGGATTTACTGTTTCATTATGATCAGAGGTCTTTCCATCAGCTGCCATTTGGTTTGCCCTCACTGTATCCTCTAAGACATTAACATCAACATTGCCAATGTTTTCCTCCTCCAAAATATCCACCAGAACCCCATTAGAACTAGAAAAAACCTGAACAGTTCCCTTAGGGTTTACTGTTCCATTGGATTTCTTCTTCCCAGCTAATTCTACAGTTGATCCATCAATTATTCTATGTTCTTCCTGAGCTCCTGTAGTACCTCCAATTGGTTACATAGGTTGCTGCTCATTATTCTTCTCCAAAACTTCAACCCTAATTTCCTGCAAAGTAGGGTTTACTGTAGACATGTTGTCCACATGTACTGCATGTTTCAGCTGTGTATTGCCCCCTTATTCATCGACTTTTGTACTTGTATTTGCCTCTGAATTGTCCTCTAACCCTTCTATTTCATCACTCCATAATGACCTATCACCTCTAGTTTCTCCAGTTGACATAGGTGATTCAACAAAAGTTTGTGAAGGCACCTCTTGGCAGGAATGATTTAAGGTGACATTGAGAACTTCCTTAGGAGGACCAAACATTCTTTGAACCCAGTTAACAATCCTTTCCTTATTAGCTGCATCCTCAATCCCATTACCCTTAGGATTAGTGATTTCTGAACCTACCGGATTTCCATGTTCCTCAACTTTAATCCCTGTATTACTAGGATTAATGGTTCCTTCCTTAGCCGTTGTAGTAATCCCAGCATCCTTAGGATTGGAGCTGGTATTTTCCTTAGTCTTCACCTGCTCCTTCTCCTGAACCTTCTTAGCATCAATTCCTTGTTGCTTTTGCTGTTGTGCCTTGCTATTATTATCTCCCTTGCCATCAGTAATCCTCAGCGTTGGTGGATCAATTTCCTCTACTTCCAATGCATCAAATTTGTTCCTTGTTGACACTGCCTCAACTTTGTTCTTCCCCTTTCCATTGTCAGTCTCCTTCTCCTTTGTAGTGCCAAATGATATGGCCTCTGTGATCACGTTGATACTTGCTCCTCCTTGCTTGCATCCACTCCTGCCTAGCAGGATTTGCAATTGGTTTACCCAAAACTTACCACTTGAAAGCACCTTAGTTGAAGCAGATGTAGTTCTAACAAGCTCTTTCTCCTTCACTTTGTCATTGCCTTGATCTTCAAATTTCCTAAGCTCGGGATTAATTACCCAACACTCGGCTTCCTTATGGCCTTGTTTCTTGCAAGTTTTGCAATACTTAGGCATATAATCATACATAATCTTGATCCATTTAGACTCTTCTGGCCCAGAATCATCCTCATCTTCTACAATTTTGATCCTTTGAGGGAAATATGAGAGCAAATTCACCTCAACTTTAACCTTAGCACAACTAGGTCTTGTGCTATTCGGAGTAGCCAATTCAACATGTAAAGGTCTCCCAACAGCACTTGCCAACGAGAATACAAATTCCTTACCAAAAAAGTTAGGTGGCAGGTCCTGAAAAGAAATCCAAGCTATAGCAACAGGCATTTCTTCATCGGGTTTCCACCAGGGATTCTACCTTGTATATCGCATCTGCCACATCTCACCTTGTATCTTCAAATAAAATGCTAGCTCTGATAATAAATGAATTTAAAGAAATCTTAATAAGGACATCGTTGTCTCCAATCAATCCAATGGAGCAAGGGCCCTTTAATTCACACTGTATAGGAATAGACTTACATAATTCTTGAATAACAGGCTTACCATATGAAAATTTGCCCAGCACTGCCAACTGCAGTCCTTGTTGAGCAATGGATTGTCGAACTTCCTGCTTTTTCCATTTAATGATGGGCTCTCTATGAAGATATTCAACTTGTTTTAGGGTTGCATGGGTTGGAGTTGGCATGACCGCATTTAATACAGTAGGTTTAACTAATTACGCATAGTTTTGGATTATTTTTGGGCTCGTAGATGTTTGGAGGGGCTGTGGGGATGGTTGGGACGACTGACTAGCCTCAAGAAGGGGCTGGCTAGTGGCCGAAGCAGCCATTAATGGCTTCGTGAGACCTTCGTGCTCAGTCGTCTCCTGTCGCCAATTGCCAGAGCTCCTAAGACGTGAGGTGGGGTTTTTTTGGGTTTAATCACCAAGCCTTAGATTCTAACATACAAGGTTTTTTTTCCTTGCTAAATTTTCCCTTGCTAAAAACCTCAATCCGAAGGTAATGGCCCCCAGTATTCGAGATCGAGCTTGAGAGGGATCGGATACTTTTGATGCGAAGTGAACGCCCATTGACTCCGGTTTGGGACCGGCCTTCAAATCTAAGTTAGCACGTTTTACTATTGCCTCGTTAAAAACCTTGCCAAAAACCCCCATTTTGGGACAAAAATGGTTCAAGGTAAAAAGAGTGCAACCATACTTTCAGACCTAACATCCATATCCATTCTTGGTCGTTTACTTGCAAATTTTAGTCCGATTCATAACATGATTAAAGAATACTTAAGTTTGAACCTTAGTAGTAGTACTGCTTTAAGTGTGTCACATTCCAGTTATTCGGTAACTGCACACCATTTCCTGATTCGAGTTTGTACGAACCTTTGCCGATAATTCAGCCTACTCGAATTGGTCCTTCCCAGTTCGGTCCCAGCTTTTCCTCGTTCAGGTTTCGGGTGTGTAATGTTACTTTTCTCAACACCAAGTCCCTATTTTGGAATTGTTGGAGGTTGGATCTTAGGTTATAATATCTTTCTATCCGTTGTTTCTGTGCAGCCAACCAGACAAGGACAGCCTCCCGCCTTTAGTCCAATAGTTCCAGGCTCATAATCATGGCCTCGCTGTTCGAATCTTCTGTTGCATATTGGAACCTGAGGCTCGGTTCTCCCACTTCGACTGGTATCAAGGCTTCGGCACCGCAAACCAATGAAAATAGGGTGGCCCCGGTACTAGACTTCAAGGTCGTACGGTATGTCCATAGGACTTCGGGCAAGATTTCCTTCCATTTGCCTTTGGCATCGATCAACCTCTTTTTCAGGTTTTAAGGTATGGTCTTGTTCGTAGATTCTGCTTGTCCGTTTCCACTAGAATGTAAGGTGTTGACAGTATTTTCTTAATCTTGTTATCTTCAAAGAACTTATTTACCTTGTTACCGATGATTATCTCCAATATCGCAAACAATTTTGGATGGTATGCCGAATCGGCATATTATGTGGTCCCAAATAAAGTAAATGACTTCTTTTTCCGGGGCTTTCTCGAACGCTTGAGCTTCGATCCATTTGGAGAAATAATCGGTCATGAATAGTATGAATTGAGCCTTACCGGGTGCCCACGATAGGGGACCGATAATGTCCATTCCCCATTTCATAAATGGCCATGGGGATAAGATCTAGTGGAGTAGTTCTTCAGGTCAATGGATCATCGGTGCATGTCTCTGGCAATCGTCGCATTTTTGTACGAAGTCCTTCGCATCCTTCTCCATTTCGGTCCAGTAATAGCCGGACCTGATTAATTTTCGAACCAAAAACTCCGCCCCCGAATGGTTCCTTTAAGTTCCTTCGTAAACTTTTCTCAAGGCATACTCGATATCTCCGGCCCCAGGCACCTGGCTAATGGGCCATCAAATGTTCTTCTGAACAACGTCCCTTTGACCAAACTAAACATGACAGCCTTTGTATACAGGGCCCTCAATTATTTGGGATCTGAAGGTAATTTTTCGTGTTTCAAGTAGTCTATATATTTGTTCCTCCAATCCCAAGTTAAACTCGTCGAATTTACTTTGAGATGGCCTACTTCTATTACTTACTTCATGAGTTGTACTACCGTTCCCGAACTGAATTCGTCGACATTGACCGATGAACCCAAGTTAGCCAAAGTGTCGGCCTCACTATTCTGATCTCGGGGAACGTGTTCCGGGGTCCATTCTCTGAATTGATGCAGTGTTACCTGTAACTTGTCTAAGTATCTTTGTATCCGTTCATCTTTTACTTAGAATGTTCCATTGACTTGATTTACCACGAGGAGGGAGTCACACTTGGCTTCAATCACCTCGGGCCAAGGCTTTTATCCAGTTTGAGACCTGTAATTATGGCCTCATACTCGGCCTCATTGTTGGCCAATTTTACAGTTCTAATAGACTGCCTAACTACATTGCCTATAGGTGGCTTCAACATGATGCCGAGCCCGAAACCCTTTGCATCCGAAGCACCGTACGTAAAGAGGGTCCAAACTCCCGAGGTAGTCCCTGAGGTTAACAGTAATTCCCTTTCGGCTTAGGGTATTAAGTCCAGTGTAAAGTCAGCCACGAAGTCTGCCAAAATCTGAGATTTAATGGCAGTTTGGGGTCGATACTCGATATTGTACCCGCTGATTTTGATGGCCCATTTGGTCAACC